AGACAGCCATTCCAGGGCCATGTGGTTGGAGGCAGGTGCTGAGCACTGAGATCTGGGCCTACCCCAGCCACTCCCAGGCTGGGAGCAGAACAGGCGTGTTCCAGTGGGAGGGGGCAGGAGGCATCATGTGCTATTCACCCAACATCTAGGGGTTTATGTAAGGACACACAGCTGGAAACAAGCACACAGCTGCAAACCTGCTATATGGGGCATTGGGTCTGATCACTTCCTTGCTGTGCTCTGAAATTCACATTGAAATTTAATCCCCATTACAAGACCTCAACAGGTAGCACCGGGTAGGACCTTTAAGAGGTTTAAGAGGGGAAGCCACTCATGTGATGAATGTGTTAATGGATTATCTCTAAAGTGGGTTTACTATAATAGCCAGTTGGACTAAGTCTCTTGCCATGTGATGCCCTGAGCCACCTCAGGACTCTGCCAGCAAGAAAGATATCACCAGATGCAGCCCCTGGTCCTTGAACCAAAACTAGGAACCAGAGTAAATATTTTCTTTATAAAGTATCCAGGCTTGTGTATTCTGTTATGGCAACATAAAATGAAATAAGACATCCCTATTCCCCAAACTCATCCTTTCCCTACTGAGGTGGAGGATCAGATCAGACCTAGGAATCTCCCAATTTTACCAAGCCAGAACTGGTCTTTGGGAGCTTGCCTCACCAGGCCAGGCTGCAGCCCTCATGTAACCATCAGAATATGGGCTCAGGCTGGGCATGGTGGTACACACCTTAATCCCAGAACTCTGGGAGGCTGAGGCAGGAAGATTGCAAGTGTGAACCCAGACTCAGCAACTTAGCAAGACCCTATCTCAAAAAAAAAAAAAAAAAATTTAAAAAGGCTGGGAATCTGGTTTCGTGTGAGGGCCCCAGCTTCAATACTTAGTACAAGGAGAGGAGGAGGAGGAGGAAGGGAAGAAGAAGGAGAAGGAGAAGGAGAGGAAGAGGAAGAAGAGAAAGAAAGGGAGGAAGAAGGAGAGAAAGAGGAGGTGGAAGATGTGGAGTAGAAGGAAAGATGGGCTTAGGAGAACATGTAAATGTTCTGGATTATTCAGGAGCTATCATCTTGTAAGCTACAAGGTCAGCCAGCAAGAGCACAGCTTGGATGTAGGCTGAGCACTTGCCAGCCAAGTGGTCTGGGTGTCACTTTACCTTTCCAAGCCCGGTCTCCTCATCTACCCAGGGGGTGCTGGTACTTTAATGAGGTGTAGGGTGGATGCTATAAAAATAAGTAGAGGGCCACACTGTGGGCCTGTTAAATTCACTCAGTTTTCATTTTATTCCTCTCTCTCTCTAGGATTTTTCAAAAACCCTTTTGTCTGTATAAAGCAGAAATAGATGCACCCAAATCAATATATGGTGTTCTCTGCCGAATGGAAAGATATACTTTAAAATTTTCTAAAACTGTGCTGAGATAATGGCCTGGAGGTGCACACATCTCTCTCAAGACAGCTGGGGAGAGGAGACTGTCTGGGATCGGGGGATGGCGGTGAGGCAGGGGACTGGGCACAGTAGGAGAAACTGGCAGTAGGGGCAGGGCACCAGGATGACTTGGGACTGGGACACTGGGCTCCCTGCCAGGAACATTCCTCAAGCTATGGGGTGCCCAGGGCCCCCTTCTTTGCTCAGGATCCTCAGCTCCTGGGTCAAGGCCACACCAGGGGCCACTCTGCCTCCATAGCCCTTAAGAGCCACCCCCATCCCACTGGCTGGTATTTCCCCCTTTGCTGCCTCTCTCCACCTCAGACTCCAAGCTCCTCAGAGATGGGAACTGAGCAAAACTCACTTCAGTCACCTCCACACTTAGCACAGTGTCCTGCACACATTTGGTTAATCTAAAGTGCACTGGCTTCACCTGAGGCTTGTGAAGCCTACTCGTGGGCTCTATAACCAGAATCTCAGATGCTGCTGGTCGTGGAACCACACATTAGAAACCTCTGCACCAGGTGCTCTCAGTACAGGACCGTGGAAGGCGCGAGTAGGTTAGTGAATCACCTGTAGGCAAGAGCCACCCCAGGTGCGGCCTTCTCCCAGGTCCCTCCCATGGGCCCAGCTCCCAGTGCCCCCATGCCCATACAGACCCATGGTATCAGTGTCTCCTATGCTCCCATCAGCCTTGAGGGTCAGCTGTACATGCCCTGCACCCACCTGTCCTGCTGCCCAAAACAAAGTCTTTCTGGCGAGGAGGTAGCCAGGCTCATGGGGCACTGTCATGACATGCCAAGCTCCATGGCTCCATTCCCACATGTGTGAGTCACCAGGCCCACAGCGGGCCAGGGAAGAAGAGTGCTGTTGGGGATCATGAAGGTCCTGGGGGTCCCAGGTGCCCATTATTACCCTAAGAGGATATGCCCAGAGGACTGAGTCTTCTGGTGTGGACTCCAGATGGCCACCTCTGACTCAGGACTATTTCACTGCCTTGATTAGACAGCCTGGCGCAAAAGGATGGGTCATTGGAACAGTTTATTACCACCTGCTACCGGCATATGGGCAGGGCAGGATGGTGGTCAGTGCTGGTTGGAAATGGGAAAAAGGAGGCCCTGAGGGGAGTACCAAGGCCAGGAGATGAGCAGCAGGGATGCCTTAGAGTCCTCTCACTGCACACCCCAGGGGGCCTCATTCGCACTGGAATCCATGCAGGGTGCACCCTCTGGAGTAGTGCAGTGGCTCTGGGGGCTTTTAAGAGAAAGGTGGCTACACGGGAGCAAAGTGCTCTGAGGGGGGTAGGACTAGGTACTGTGGGAGCCAGGGAGGAATGGCTAACTCTACCCAGGGAACTCGGGTGTGGGGGCCAGCTGGCTCCCTGCAGGCCAGTTAATGCAGCCAGGCTGGAGGCCCACTACTGAATCTGCAGCCTCAGCGTCTGGAGTTGGCTGCTTTCTTTGCTCTCCAGGGAGATTTGGAGCTGCAAACCCTGGGGCCAGTAGGTCTTGTGGGCTGTGCCTGTGCCTGCCCCTACCCTGGCCATGGTGTTTGCAGAATCAGAAAGAAGCTTTGGCCTTGATCCTGAGCAGGGAGGCCCAGGGGCAAGGAAAGGGCAGATGCAGCTGAGACACACAGAGGCAGCTGTAGGGTTTCTGCCAGGAACTCAGTGGGCCTCCAGTGTTATGAGTCTTGGGCTTGGCAAAGCCCACTTCCTCCTCTGGCCAGTCATGGATCACCTTTTCCAGGAAGCCTTTGGAGGACCCTCCCCTGACCCCAGCCTCCACTCTCCTGTTGCTCAGCTTGGGGAGGGCCAGGCAACCACTCTCCAACTCTGCCATGGTCTTGCTCTGACTTTTGCAAGAGTCTTGGAGAGCTCAAGAGTTCAAGACCAGCTCTTGCTTCCTCCTGAGCCAGGACAGAGGGGACCTCACACACTGGGACTCACTCTGCACTTCTGTTCCATTACCACTGACTGAATCCATGGGTTCCCTAGTCCATCACCCCACCAGATGGCGGTCACTTAATCAACTCTGTTCCTCCTCTTACACCTAGCTCAGGTCATGACACCCAGTAGGTACTCAATTTGTTTTTGGTACCGGGCATGAAACTCAGGACCTTGAGCTTACAAGGCAGATGCCAGAACCACTGAGCTAAATCCCCAGCCCATACTCAATTTTGCTTGTAGCTTGAATGCTGTAACTTCTGGATTCTGTGGCTGAGGGCAGAGTGTGCTTATAGCTCCTGACCATTTTCCCAAAACCTGTCTGGGGCCCTCAGCATCAGTGATGATGAAGCAAAACCAGGAGTTTGTAACCCAATTGCAGCCTGTGATACTGTTAGACTTGGCCAACTATTTTTCCACTTGAGAAACTTACTAACACAGAGGCCTTCTCTACAGGTGAGTTCAAATACTGTAAACACATAGACTTCTATGGCTCTGGTCAAAGCAGAAAATCAGACACCAGATGTGAGGAGCATTGGGGTGCAACCTGGTAGAGGGTACCCATGGAAGGGAGCAGTAAGGCTGCTGGACCAGTGGCTCCTAGGTCTGTGGGGAGTCAGTCCAATCTCTATGAGGCAGGGTGTCCAACGGTGGCAAGGGCAGATGTGCCATCCCCTTGGTTCTTCCCAGCTGGGACCAGTCTGGTCTATAACATTTCTGGCTACTTCCTACCCAGATCTCAAGCTTTTTTTCTGCTCAGATCATAAGGACCTCAGGTTACTTCCCTCCAACTAAGAAAATTCAAGTTCCAATAAGAAGGTCCAGATCTTTAAGGCAGAATTGATCTCTCTCCTCTGGTCCCCTTGGTGTTTGCACACAGCTAAGAGGATGTCCCTAACCTGCTGTTGTTGGTATCTTCCCTTAGGAACCAAGGGGGTGGACAGCAGGGGACCCTGGCCCCCATAATCTCCATCACTTCCCCTATGCTAATGTTAATATTAAACCTAACACTCCTTAATATGAATAATTCACATTTCTCAGACAGGTGAAATGAATCATAACTTCTGTAGTCTTCCCAACATATAGATCTGAAATATACTGATACTCCTTAACTTGGTGTGGGGCTACATCCAGATCAGCCCATAGCATGTTGAAAATACCATAACTTGAGCCAGATGCTAGGAGCCTACATAGGATAAGGATCTCAATAAAAGGAGCTGCAGACAAGTATGAGCAATTCACTTTTGAATTATCCCTACTCATCCAGAGTAGCTTTCTTATTTATTTATTTATTTATTTATTTATTTATTTATTTATTTATTTTTGGTACCAGGGATTGAACTTGGGACCTTGGGCTTGCGAGACAGGCAGTGGGACCACTGAGTTCTTTACCAATGCTGGGTTTAGGACTGCCAAGAGCTGTGTGTTTCAGCAGAGCAGTGGCTTGCTGTCCACCCCTGAATGTTACAGTGTGGCATCGTGTGGCCTGGTGTATAAACCCTCCCCAGATGTTACAGAAGCCATGTACACAACTTCCAGAAAGTGCCTGAAAATGACCTTACTTAGAATCAGACAACATGCAGCCTTTCAGATGGACCTTTTCTCATTTTGCAACTAACCATGAGAAATATGATAGAAGAAGCCATCGGAGTGCTGTTTCATTTTTCCTCATTCTTCTCTGACAGAAGATTTTAAGACAGCAGGCCACCAGTCAACGTTTGGTGATATGATACAATTCTGGCAGTGATATGTGAAGGGAAATGCACGTTAAATTCAGAAGGAAACACTACCTCCCTCCAGTTAAAATGACTATTAACAGAAAAATAAAATAGCAAGTGCTAGTGAGGATGCAGAGAAAATGGGATTCTTATAGTTCATGGAATGTATGTACAGCCCTAGAGATAGAGGATGAAGAAAGGAATTAAGAAACTTCCCACACATCATGTAAACATTACGGACTACACATATATAAAAAAATCAAAATAGGATTGCAAAAAAATTTAAAAATAGAACTACCATAAAAGCTAGTGATCCCACTACTGAGTATATAAACAAAATAAGTGAAATTGGTATGTTAAAAAGGCGGTTGCACTCTCATATTTATTGCAAGACTACTTACAGGAGGCAAGATTCACAAACTGCCTACATGCTCACTGTGTGTATTCTAAGTAGCCTCGTTTTAATAGATTATGAAAAAATTGCAAGTCGTATTTGCTGTATTAGCTGATGGTAGCCTCAAGTGTCCAATCCTCACAGAAACTTATTGAAAAAAGTTATTTATGTAAGTTGTTAGGGTTACTGAAGCATAAAACTTTCAGATATCCAAGTTTTTACTTAGTTTTGTAACCTATGTAGAAAAAATTTGTTTTCAAAAAAAGAGTATAGTAATAATTCTTACAAGAATAGTAAAATATCTAAATATATGTGTAGGAAAATGGACGAACCTTGAGACCATAATGCTCAGTGAGATAAATCAGACACACAAGCTTAAATATCATTTGATTTCTCTTATATAAGAAACCCAAAATAATATGAATAAATTAAAGAGCAAAATATAAGATAATAGCTAGCTGAGGAATAGATCTTTTGTAAAAGGGAAGAGGACCGAGAGATGGAGGAAATGAAAATAAGAATTAAGATGTGTTTTATACTAACTCTCCATGATTAGTGTAATCAATGTGGACTCCAACCACATATATATATATATTTTTTGGTACCTGGGATCGAACTTGGGTCCTTACACTTGCGAGGCAGGCATTGGAACCACTGAGCTAAATCCCCGGCCCCCTCAACCATATATTAAAAAGATGAAAAAAGAATATTAAAAAAAGAACTGACTTTTCATGTCCTTCAAGTAGTTTTCCATTGTTTATCTTTTTCTTTTTGATGACTAATCTCTGTTGGGCTAATAAATTATGTTTTTATAAAATTCAAAAAAGAAAACACCATAACTTGAAAATGCGTGGGGTTCACCTCCCCTCCTGAACATCCTTGCTCAGCCACGCAGTACACTGTAGACTCAGTTGTTTCCCCACATGACTGAGGGGCTGGCTGGGAGCTGGGGCTCCGTGCTACCACTCAGCATCATCTGCATATGGCTAGCCCCGGAAATGATCAGGTTTCAAAATTTGAAGTAGTGAACCAAAATAAACCCTTTTTCTTTATAAGTTAAAAGGCAAAATTTGAAGTGTGATTTCCACTAAATGCACATTTCTTTCATAATTGTAATTTTGAAAATCGTTAAGTTAAACCATTGAAAACTGGGGACTGTTAGCACAATCTACATAAAAACCAGGGCCCTTTATGCAAATAGAAGCAGCTCTCAGGGAAGTCCCCTAGTTCCCAATTCCTGGTGACTGCCCAGTGTAGTAAGCCAGGACTTCCCCAGGGCACAAGGTCAGTCTCTCTCATAGAGGCAGTGGGCAGGCACATTCCAGTACCCAGCCGGCTGGACACATCTGCAATCACCAGGAGGAACCAGGAGGCGAGGTCAGACTCGTGAAGCAGAGAGGTGATAACTGTGTATGTGTGAGTGGGGGTGACCTGGAGAAGGCTATCGGTGCTTCCATTGCAGATGACAGAACTGAACCCCAGGCAGGTGAAGGGCTTCCTTCAGGTGCCAGGGTTGGCTCTGGGCTGCCCTGGATCCGCTGTACCCTATTCCTGCCCAGTCTCTACATTCAAGCTGCCTCCCAGGTAGTGAGGGTGGGCAGGTCTTTATGTGGGTGTCACAGGTAGTCACTTGATGGGCACAAGGTTCATGCCTACTCTCTGTCAGCTCACCCTTCTCCTCACCGAGCTGGTTCTCAAGCTGTTTCCCAAATCCAGGGCTGCCCTCTATCCCAGAAGCTAAGCCTCAGGAAGCACCATTCCAGGTCTTGCTCTTTCAGGCTTGGGGATCCAGGGCCTCATGTCCCTCTCCTCACCTGACCCCTTTCCTCCCTCAGCTGACAGCAGGGGAGAGGACAGAGGATGCCAATCTCAAATCAGAATGTAAGAGCTGGGTGACAGCCACATACATCTTAATTGGTGCATTTCTATTTTCTCTGTGGACATTTTCCCTTTCTGATGGACTCTTACAAACATTTTACTGTTACATTTCTTGTAATACTGCCTGGAATCATTATTTAGACATCATAAAAAAATCATTATATTTTTAAAAGGAAGGCGGATATGTTTCCACCAAAGAGAAGTCAGAAAGCTCAGGCACACACACAGGCCAATGTATACACACACACACTCACATGCATGTTCTGTCTAACAGAAAACAGAGTTTTATCCCCGCATCTCTTTGCAAAATAAAAGTGAACATACAATTCATAGGGCTTTTTACAAACATCTACATTTTTGAATCATTCTAGAAAAATCCAGTTCCATTACTTACAGCAGCAGTTCCGTGATAAACCAATGCAGAAATGGTTACCAATAAGTAAAATGTACAATTCCCAATAGGCTTGTATTCTACAGAAATGCATCATAAACATTAACGTTTTTTGAAGAACAAACCAGAAACCACAAAGCTGCTTCTCACTACCTGCAAGCATTGTGTGCAGTAAATCCTTGGACACTGTACTCTGAAAAAGCTCATGACTTAATTGTCTGGACTCCCGTCCCTCAAAAGGAGGCCATGAAAATGTGCAGATGAGAAAATCTCCCTGGCTATTTTACAAGAACCCTGTTCTACCGCTCTCTTTGCTACCAGAGGTGGTGCAGCCCTCCAGGAGTTGTCCAGTTCTCTGGACTCCAAAAAAATGTGAGGGGCCACCACTCCCTATGCCACCTTGGACATGGATCTGTGCCCTAACTGAACTCACCAACAGGCAGGTGAGACACCTGGCTATGGTGAGAATCAGAAGCTCTGGTCTCTTGGCAACCGTACAGAGCTGGGCCACGGCTTCTCTCAGATGCCCAACCTGTATCCAGCTTGACTTCTGCTTCTCAGATGAGGTGCCTGCCAGGTAAGGGCCTGGGCAGCCTGGCTGCCTCCCCCTTAACCTGTACTCCACTTGCTGGCTTCTGGGAGTGGTGACTGATGCTCGGTTAGAGAGTGCACTGTGGGAGAGCAGTTCTGGCCTGAGACTTCCTGTTTGGGGAGGAAACCTCACTGGGGCTGGGGATAATTAGTGGCTCAGACTCCAGTGTCTTTGCTACAGGAACTGAGGCGGGACAGCCAGAAGAATCCAGGATATGAATAAATGTCATCCAACACAGGGCAGACTGCTGTGTGTGTGTGTGGTGGCGGTGGGGTTGACTCCTCAGATACAAAGCCAAACATAATGGCTGCAGAAAGTGGCAATTTATCAATTTCTTCAGGGGCAATTTATCGCAATCACCATGGCTGTCATTGGCTTAGTGATAATTCTCCAAGCATTTTGTGCCAACAAAGGCTTCATTGTCATCTTCACTTGTTAGACAGCATCCACAGTGAAAAGAAAGACAGAAAAACAGCACTTCCAGAAGGGGAATCACACATGATGGTGAGAGCACAGGCATGTGGCCCTCTGCTGCCAGTGCCTTTCAGTTGGCCCTGGAGGCCACATCTATGGCCCGAAGAAGCCAGAGGTTTGGAGACCTCTGTACCTTTGCAATGAATTATACCAGGTTTCATTTTAGGGAAAAGTATATTTGATTGTTTTCAACTTGTTTAAAAAGTAGTGACCTTAGAGTAGGGCAGCTCTGAATAACCCAGGGCATTTGATAACCAGAATGCATTCCCCCGGGCTCCAGGAAGGTTTCCTCCGAGAGTCTCCAGAATGACTGAAAACTGCAATGCAGCCTGCACTGTTCTGACTGTTGCAGCCCCTACTCTTGTCTCTCCTTTGAGATACACTTCCCGAGGGCAGGAGTAGATTCTGGAATCTTTCTGAAGTCCAGTACAGGCCAGCAGGCCGAGATTGACTTTCCCCTGGCTCCTTCCTGACTCTGCCCTCCCTACTTTGCCCTGTTACATCCACCCAAGTCTTAACATCCTCCTGCACCGTCTGAGTCTTCTATCCTTGAAGATGCAGCCAAAGTTCTTTGGCAGTGAAGGACTTGCCATCCCCTACAGCCCCCAGCAATCTCTCCGCTCTGAATTCAGAGGGAGCAGCTGTTAGCGCCTCTTTACCCGGACAGACCCCGAGTGTGCATTTAGGTTCAGCCCCATGCTATCTGTGTGACCTTGGCCAGGCTGGTTTCTGTCTCTGTGCTGATGATTAAGTGAAACAGTGAACTTGAAAGCCCCAAACACACATCTTCCTTAGACCCGCTCCTGTTTTGCACATGGCCTTGCTTTGCTTGGCAGCTCACCGAACTCCTCTCCCTCTGCTGCTCTGGAGAGCTATGTCACTCTGCCACACCAGCCAAGGTCAGCCATCTACCCAACTTCAACCCCTAGGTGTCCACACAGCTCCTCCCTCTGTTCTCTGCTCACTGTGCGGTTGGCAGATGCCTGTTGGGACAAAGAGGCTCTGGCAGTACTTTCAAATGGGAGTGAATCTCAGAACCCACTGGAATAGCCCAGATTTCGGGGCAGCCCCAGGCCCAGGTCCCAGATTCGGTAGACTGGGGTGCTCAGAACTCTGTTCCTGTTGAAGCTGCTAGGTGGCCTCTGGGTCCCCTTGGAGAAGATGCCCTGTTCAGACACCACACTTCCCTAGGAACACAGAGCTGCCAGGTGTGAGTGGAAAGCAGCTGTGACATCGTACAGTTCCTCAATACTCCAGGTGGGCTGTGGGGTCCTGCTCCCCAGGTTCTCCTGAGACCCTGGCTGCACCCTGAGGCCCCTCAATCTCAGGAACTGCCTCCCCTCGCTATTCCACACAACCACACCAACCACTTCTGCTCAACAGAAGCTGAACAAGGGCCACAGGAGGACAAAAAGCAGCCACCCCGGAACTCAACAGTTTGGGGATGGCCCCTAGCCCAGCCCTCTGATCTAGGATACTTTCCAGGCCCTGGCCCCCACATCACAGTGTGTGGCGCTGGGCCCAGCACTGTCCTGCTTCCTTCCCTTCCAGTTTTGCTGCCACCTTATTTCTAGCCAATCAGGAGCCATTTCTAAGGACCAGTCACAGAGGGCCTGTTTTCACCCCCTTTGCGGTTCTGGCCTCACATCCATATGGGGCTGATGATTCCTGCTGTCCTTGCCATGTACAGCTCCAGACAGCCACCCGGGGAGCCTCAGCAGAGACCCCTCAGATGGCAGCAAGCCCAACATGGCAATGTGCAGTGCAGACTCGAGCTGGAAGGTCCAGGTACAGCCACTCTGTCCTCCAGCTGTGTACCCAGGGCCAGTTCACCCAAGACCCTCACCCCGATGACAGGTGTCCCATCACCCTCTCGAGCCCATCAGTTAGATCACAAACCTTACTTTCTTCCCTGCAGCCCGACAGCCAGTTCACCAGCATCAGACACCCACAGTAACAGGAGGGGTCGCTCCACGTAACTGAAGCTTGAGAGCCCTGCTGTGACAGCTCGAGATGCACCTGCATTTAGTAGCCCTTTCGCCAATCCCCACATTCCTTTACAGTTATGCCACCAGTCAGTGTTACAATCCTGGGGCTGTATTTTTTTCTATCAAGTTTAATCTCCTAATCTGATAGCTCAAGAAGGCTTTAAAAATGGGCTGTTTGCTTGGATGCCAACCTGGCTGTCATTAAGAGGAAAGCAGAGGTAGGAATAAGTTACCATCTGACCTCAGAACAACCGGTGCTTACCTGATACACTTCTGCAGGTGAACCAGTGATGTAGGACAACTGTGAAGAGCTGAGAACAGACGGATTCCCAGCAACAGGATTCTCACATTGTTGAAGCAAATGAACCATAGTCTGTGCAAAGAGCAGTGTTTCTGGCAAGCTGGCAGGTGGAGGAGGGACACTTTCTACCCTGGGTTGAGCAACAGGGCAGGAGTTTATGATTCATGAGCAGCTCCCATCAGCCCTGCCCACAGCACAGCAGTCAGTACCCCCAGCTTGGAGGTGGGGAAGTATTTGTTGTCTCCAAATCCTTGTTAGCATTTGGGTCCTGAGCCATGCTGAGGTGGTTTTCATGCTTGTATTCAGAAATACAGGGAAGGTGGGGTTATTGGGGGTGATAAACAACAGCCAAGACACTGATCCTGACAGAAGTGAGACTGGGCTGGTCTTAAGAGTGCCTGGCACAAAGTTAGTGCTCAGTAAATGTTTGCTGAATAAATAAATAATGAAGCAGAACTTGGACAAGAATAGAGTTTGTGGTTAGGAGTCTCAGGTTTGGAGTTGAAAGAAGAGTCTGTCCCTGGGAAAGTTCCATCGTTGTGAAGAATAACACTCTCCATTTCCTAAGCATCTCAAAGTACAAGTGAATTCATGTGGTAGGGCATAGTGACACACGCCTGTAATCCCAGAGCTTGGGGAGCCTCAGGCAGGAAGATTGCAAGTTTGAGTCCAGCCTGGGCAATTTAGTAACTTAGCAAGACCCTGTCTCAAAATTAAAAAAAAAAAAGGCTGGAATATATCTCAAGCCCCTAGGTTCAATCCCCAGTACCACACACACACACACACACACACACACACACACACTCACACACACACACAGACATACACACTCACACAAAAGCTCCTGTATACACTGTGTGGCCCAGGGCCTGGCACATGGGAGGCTGAATGTTCGGGTATGAGGACTGTGATTTCAAGTGTAATGGCACTGGGACACACAATAGGTTGGGAGGGGCCAACAGGCCGGAGTGTGCACACATCTGAGAACCATGCGGACCCAGTTGCAGGGGGAGGCATAGGAAGTGAGGCTTCTACAGCAGGTCTGCTTGCTGCCCAGGGCCCTGCCTCCACTCACTGCCTTCCCTCTCCAAGCTGTATAATCACTGGCTTCACTAAATAGCATGGGGTCAGTGGAGGTGGGGTAGGAGTAGGAAAAGAGGCACATGCCCCTGCAACCCCAGGAGGGAGAAAGGAGCCAACTTGGCCTTAGGTTTCAATAACTACTTACATTGGCAAACTTCCCATTTTAAGTCAGGAGACCCCTTCCTGGTCATGATACTAGAAAGTAATTTCATGGAGTACTTAAACTTAGCTGCCTTCTGCCTGCCCAGCCCAGGAGGTCTGGGCCTCTGTGCATGGTAGGAAGGGCAGGAAAGGGTGGACACAGCCTCAGCTGTAAGGTGGGAGGTCTAATTCTGCAATGGCCTGCTTCCAAACCTATCCAGAACCTGTCTGAAAACTATACCAGGCTGCACAAGGAAAGCAGTAGGTGGTCACACTTCTTCTCCTGGCCCAGACACTGAAAGGAGGACCTTAGAAGCCACAATCTGGGGTTCAGTTGCCTTCTCTAGGGAACTCATGGGTTCTAACTAGAAGAGCAAAAAGTGTAAAAGGTCCTGTCAGATTAACATTCAACACTAGGGGAAAAGAGAGAGATGTGATATTTAATGCACTCCCACAATTCAGCACTCCACATAATTAACCCCCAGACAGGCACCATAGTCCCTGCGTTACAGGGCTATCATGCCCCAAGCCCCTGGAAAAGTTTACAGATGAAGAAAAAAGTTTAGAGAGCTGAAGACTTCAACACTGGCTGAGATTCAGCCTCGGGTTCACCAGACCCCAAAGCCAGGCTCTCCCTAAAGCCAGCCAGCAGTCTTTGCCTCGTCAGGTGCTCAGGTGTTCAGCTTTGGACTCTGGTCAAGAACTTTCACTTTCTAACTCCCTGAGTCCCTGGCCAGCACTCTGGTCTCTGGTAAGTCTAAGACCCTGGGACAAGGACAGGAAACATGAATGGTAGCAGCGTCTACCTGTTGATGTCGTTAGGCTGCAAAGAGCACATCTGCTCGGCCAGGCCAGGTCCCGGGGACCTCAGCAGGGTTGGTGCAGGCTGTTCAGTTCTCAGCTGACCAGCTCACCTGGCCTGAGGTCCCTACAGGCCGAGGCTAGCACCGTTCCCTCCACGTTAACTGCGCGCTGTCTCCTAGGGTGCCTGGCTGAGGCTGCCTGTACACACTCGAGATCCCCTTCAGGACGCCTTACCCCACTCCCCCCAGGGACACCTTCTACCCCACTAGGACTCTTCATCTGACACTGAATAAGTAGCTGCTCTCTGACAGCCCCTGTACAGGCCAGGGATGACCTAGAAGAGCCTAGGGCCTCCAGGCACTAATGTGGTCAGCTGAACTGGGCATTTGCATTTTCAACAGACCTTGCAGGTGACTGAAGGGGCAGACCCAGGTAAGGCCTTCGGTCTTGCAGACACACTGGCCCCCAGCACTGCATGCTTTGAACTGCCAACATCCCCTTGAGTACACAGCTTATCTGTCCCACTAGCAGGCTCAGCTGGGCTCCCAAGTCAGTCAAACCTGGGTTCAAATCCTACTTCTGAAACTTGTGACCTATGTATACTTGCAAAATACCCAGGCTCTCTGGAGTTCGGCTTCCCCATCTGTTACAAGAGATAGCAATGGTATCTTCTTGCTGCCAGCTTCAGCTGGATGTTGGATACAGAGGCTGATGTAACGGGGCCGGGCCCACATAAACACACAATCAATGCTTGCTATTAATTATATCATGGCTGCACTCTGATGGATAGAAATACCTCCAGGGGGGCATTTCCAGAACCCCCACTTTTGCAGCCTCTTTCAGAGATGGCCCTGGTCACCTAGGAGCCCTCTTGGTGCTCTGTGCTAGAACCTGCCCGCATTTTCCCCTAGATGAAGCTTTTGGCTCCCAAAGGACATTAACAGCCTTCACCTACACAGAGTGACCAAAGTTCCAGCCACACCTCTCCGGGCAGCATGCCCCTAAATTTCCGGGAAGAGGGGAGGAGTGGGTATTTCCCAGGCAAGGGCCCTGCGGACAGCGGCCGGCACTGGACAGTCCAGCGTCCTGAGGATGAAGGTCCGGTGTCCCTCCCCTGGCTGGAAGAGTCTGGGAGGCCTGGAGAGGAAGATCCAGGAAGGTCCGGCCCACAGCCGCCCACTCTCCCTTGGGACTGGCGGGACAAGGGCTCCACGGCGGGGCTCATGGGTCTGGGGTCCTGGCTGGAGCCGCCGGAAGGGGCGCCCAGGTCGGCACCTGGGCTCCGCACTCCCGCTCCCCCTAGTTGGGTCCCCAGCCCTGCCCACTCCGCCGCGCACACGCGGCTTCCGTCGCTTGGGGAGGAAGCGCACAGGGCTGGGGACCAAGACCGGGGTCCTCCGCCGCCCGGCACATGTGGCTCGGCCCTAAGGGACGCCGGTCTCCAGACGTCCTGCGACAGCCAGGGTGCGCACGGGCGGGGTTCTGGGGACAGGGCGCGGCCCACAGCCCCGCGGGGCCGGGCAGGGTCACTCACCTCTGCAGCCCGCCCGCTCCTAGCAGCAGCGGCCGTGCGGCTTGCAGGCGGAGGCTGTGGCTCGGCCGAGCTCCTCCCTCCCTGCGCCCCGCCCGTGTGCCTGGGGGCCGGACCTGTGCGCGGGGAGGTGGCCGCCCGCCAGCCCGCCGCTGCTTATCCGGCTCCACTACCTCCCCAGCGCCACAATCAGGGAGCGACAGGGTCCTTAGTCCCTATCCCCCCCCCCCCCCCAGGAGGTTGGGGCCGGCCCCATCACTTGTTCTTCTGCACACAAAGTGAGCAGAACTCCGGACCAATCCTTAACAGGACCGGCTAGGCCTGGGGGACGGAGGGACCTCTGCATCCCCTTAACCTGAGGGACTCCTCTGTTCCAAGTCTGCATCATGGCTGAAGCCATTGTGGCCGGTCGAGAGGCAGGTTGAGGTTGCACAGGTGGGCAGAAGCCAAGGCCAACTGCATGGGATGCTTCCCTTCCCTGAAGCTTTGTGGTCCAACACACCTCTGTCCCTGTCCACCCATGAGGCAGACTTCCACCCTTCCTTGTAATTGTCAAGGAAGAGGGCTGGTGGCTGCCTTGGCCCTCCAGGAGCTGGTGGCTACCAAGAGCCCTGCCTGGCCATTTTGGACTCCAGAACAGCGTTGTGCCCTGAGGAAGTGCCCTCTGGCTCTGGGACACTGTCCACTGCTGCCCCCACACCTGCCCTCAATGCCAGTGTCTTACCAAACAGCAGGAAGCTGGGGCACAGGTGAAAGTTGAGCAGGTACTTTCTACAGACATACGCATCATTGGAAGCCCTTACTCACCTTTGGTCACACCTACTCCTGACAGGGACTGGTATGGAATGTGGGCTCTGATGCTTGGGGAGGGGACACGAATTTCACTTCTGGGAGCCAGAGTGGGGGTTCGGGGCCCCTGGAATTCTTCGGGAATATTCTGGAGGGTGTATTTTACCAGCCCCTGATAAGGAGCTTCAAGTTACTCTTTGGAAGTAGAAGAGTACTGCTTTCCAAGAATTCAAACTGTATGGGGGAGATAAGCCCAAGGGAGCCAGAAGCAGGAAAGGTAGGCCTCAAAATGGCCCTACTGTTGGACCCCAAAACATAGAGCAGGGCTGAGAGGCAGTGTTTAGCCCTCCCTGTGGAGAAAATATTTCTATGAGCACCAGGTACACCTGTGCCTTCTCACAGCCATAGGCTTCCTCCTGCCCCTGATATCCCTCCCCAGCTCTCAGCCAGGCCAGGTCCCAGAGCCAGTCCCTTGGTCTTCTTCAGGGCTCCTCCTGCCCCACCCTACCCCAGGGCAACACCCTCTCTGAGCTCTTGTGACAGTTCTCCGTCAAGTCCCTGTGCTGAACCCTGCCCTGGGGATACCAGGTCTGGGGAGTGGCCTCTGCCATGGGTTGTTATAAATGTTAGGAAGAAGACAAGAACTGGTTGCTAGCACTCCATGGTGTTATTGGTACAGTAGCTACTCTTTAAATACCTGCTTTGGCTGGGGGGGATCTCTGAGTACCCTTCCTGCAAGGAGCTTGGCCTTGGAAAATGGAAATGCTCAGGGGTCTTCCAGAATCCTTAGAACGAGTCTTGGATCCATCTAGTATCACTCAGACAGTAGGTGTCTTGGTGGGCTCCCCAGGGTGCAGGGAGAGGCAGAATGAGATGGAAAGGGAGGGAAGGAGGGAGGGAGAGACCTGAAGGCTGGGCTGGCCAAGTTCTGGAAATTGTCCTAAGGGGAACATGAGTTTCCCAACGGAGACTCGAGGCCTGGCCCACATTTCTCCGTGGACAGAGCACCACTCTGCTGTTGGCCTTTGGTCCATCCACCTCCCCTAGACTGGGAATGCCTTGAGTGTGAGCTTGTCTCACCTAGCATGGGATCTGGTGTGGGTGTGAGCTCCATAGGTGTTTCCTGAAGTTTGAGGGCCAATTCACATGAGGCCTGCCCTGCTCCAGTAGGAGAGCAGTGAGCTAAGGTTCACTGAGCACTTTTAAGGCCAGTCCCTGAGGTCCTGAGCCAGG